AGCATTGGGGAAAGAAAGAAAGATCTTCGACTACATGGACTGACACAGAAACCACAGCAATGGGCACCAGCACAGCAGAGATTGGGAAGCACAAGCTTAAACAAGGTGTCAATCTGTGGTAGGTTTGCTGTGAGTCAGAGCTGACTCGATGACACCTAACAACAACAATAACAAAGATCAACAAAAAAAGCTGTTGGGACACATTTCCTGGATGATTGTGGCCAGACCCAGGAGTCACATGCACATGGCAGGAAGAATAATATGCTTAACAGAAAGAATTCTTTCTACTAGGTAATGATAGAAGTCCTGAAGTGTATCAGCACTCTAGAAGGAAGAACTTCTGTCCACATTGTGCCTTTGAAAAACTAAAACAATGCCTTGGACGCTCACTCCATTAAACAAAGTCTTTCATCTTACTGTGGTGCGGATCCACTACACATACATGTAAAAAAATATAAAGAACTGTTGCCGAAGTTTATACACCATTTCAGAATGTCATCTTATATAGTAAATAATCTTGAAGATAAAAGAAAATATAACTCTTAATATGAAAAGAGTATTTCATATGATGTCTCAAGTCTTCTTTTGCTATGTGATGATGCTGAGGTTCTTTCCAAAATCCCTTCCACTTTTAAGGTCCTTTTTTTTAAAAAAAAAAAAGAGTGTGTGTGTGATCAAATCGGATCTGACTGGCACAGGAGGAGATAGTCCCTTCTTCTCCAGCACAGCACCTGGTGGATTTAAACTGTGCACCTCTGCTATTGCAGTGCAGCTTCTTGCCACTAGGCCACCAGAGCTCCATTCAAGGTCCTATATTGTTTTCTTTCCTTTTAGTGGGACACTTAAACAGAAATTGTTGTTGTTGTTTTTATGTGCCGTCAAGTCGCTTGCAACTCATAGTGACCCTATGTACAAAAGCCCTAAACTCTGCTCTGTCCTGTGCCAATCACACGGTCTCTGACACTCCCATCCCGATTATCCCAGTCACTGAATCAATCCACCTCATAGAGGGCCTTCCTCTCCTGCACTGTCCCTCCACCCTACCAAGCATGATGTCCTTCTCCAAGGACCGGTCTCTCCTCACAACATGTCCAAAGTATGTTAGACAGAGCCTCAGAATCCTTGCCTCCAAGGAGCCACCCGGTTTAACCCTTTCCAGGATGAATCTGTTTGTTTTCCCAGCAGTCCATGGTATTGTCAATACTCTTCTCCAGCACCACACCTCAAAGGCATCAATTCTCCTTCTATCCTCCTTGGTCATTGTCCAACTCTCGGATGCATAACAAGTGATTGTGAAGACCATGGCCTGTATCAGACACACCTTAGTCTCCAGAGAGACACCATTGCTCTTCAGTACTTTGGAGACGTCCCTAACAGCAGACTTTCCCATGGCAATGTGCCTTTTAATTTCCTGGCTACTGGTGCCAAGAGTGTTGACTGTGGAGCCAAGCAAACTAAAGCTGTGTAGAATCTCAATCTCTTCACCATCTATCCTGATGCTGCCAATTGGTCCAGTGGTGAGAATCTTTGTCTTCTTGACATTGAGCCTCAATCCATATTGTAGGCTGCAGTCCTTGACCCTCTGCAGCAGGTGCTTCAGGTCCTCTTCAGTTTCAGCAAGCAGGGTTGTGTCATCTGGATAATGCAGATTGTTGATAACTCATCCACCAATCTTGACCCCACATTCCTCCTCATAGAGCCCAGCCTCCCGGATAATCTGTCCTGCATACCTTAAATCAAATAGATAACCTTTTACATACCTGAAAAGCATTTAAAAAGTCAGAATCAACACTAACAGACCCTCCAGTGAGTTTTCAGAGGCTGTAAAAAATTACAAGGGAGGAGAATGCCCATCTTTCTCCCATAGAACAAGGGGTGGGTGGATTGAAACAGCCAGGCAGGTTACAGTATATGAATAAGCAGTATAATTCTCAGGGTGTCCTTTAAAAGTAGTGAAATAAAACAAAAAACCTAAAGCCTCAAACTCATTGCTGTGGACTCTGAACCACCCGTCTTTGGAGAAGGTGAAACCAAGTCGCACATTGGAGGCAAGGATTTTGAAGCTCCATCTCACATGCTTTGGGCATGTGGGCAGGAGGGACCAGCCCCTGGAGAAGGACATCATGCTTGGAAGGATAGAGCATCAGTATAGGAGAGGAAAACCGTGGATGAGATGGATATTAACACAGTGACTATGGCAACAGGGGCAGGTATGTCAGAGACAGTGAGATTGCCTCAGGATGGGGCAAGAGTCAAAGTCTTTGTTCATATGGTCATTTTGAATCATTGCTGTCCAAGAGCTTGATGTAAGAAAATACAAGGTGCATGGAAATGCACTGCAGCTAAAAGCAGAGGAGAACCAAGATAGCTCATGGGTCCTAATAATGGCTGTTACCACATGAATTAAAGAATTTATGCCATAGTTTATCCGTTGGATTTTTCTTACCAAATAACCCTTTGAATAAAGTTATTATGAAGGCTTCCTGGGGGAAGATTACCTAGAAACAAACCCCACACAGAAAGATAGTGGAAGAATGCTGTTACAATGCAGAGATTGTAGTCCATGTCATGAAACAAAACATGTATGAACGGTTGAATGGAATATTCATCTGCTCTGTAAGCTTTCCTTCACAACAAAAATTCCAAAAGCCTTACCTAGAAACGTACTCTTAGGCAGAAACTCATAAAAACTCAATTATCCACATAACAGCGTGTGCGTAGTTCTTGTCTAAATGTCATGTCACTCAAGAAGCACAAACCTACTGCTACTGTATTGATCCTGCCTCATAGTGTCTCACATTGTGTTTCTGAGGTTGTAACTCTCAGTGGCAGGGAGCTGCCCATCTTGCTCCCAAGGAGCAGCCGGTAGATTTGAACCACTGGGCACAAGGCTTTTAGGTCCACAGAGCTGAACACTACTGGCTACGCCACCACAGGGAAAGGGAGAAACCCCTCCACGTTGTAGACCCTTTACCTATCACTTTATATATCACTCTGAAGAATATTTTTCTGAGCTCCTTCCAGCCTGTTATGGTAAGATAATTCATCAATAATACGTGTTTATTAACTACTTACTGCCTCATTACTCTGAAATTAAGAAGCATAAGTAAGCACAAAATTAAAGAAAATATTCTTTAAGGAAAGTAGGAATATATATTTATAACTGTCACTGTTGCTTTCATTCTGTTAGTTTCTGCACATAAAAACAAAACTAATGGCTCTGAACATGTTGTTCCTATTTTACAAATGATGGATGATAGATGTTGTTACCAACAGCATGCAAAAGGCCACAACGGTTTCAAGCGCAGTTTTCAATAAACACCAAGTTCACAGTCGTCACGTGGATTTCAGCTTATGCAAACTCCCGTCATATTTCTGAGGCTGTAAATGTTATTGGGAGGAAGCTGCTAATCCTTCTCCTCAAGTGGCTGATGAGTTTAAGTCTCCAATCATTTGGTTAGTGGCCAAGAGCTTAACTACTATCAAATCAAGGAATCAGGGATCCTGGACAAAAACAAGGATAAATGAGATGTGGAGTGTTCCCTTAAAGACCCATGGAGCAGCTGATTATTTAATTTTCAATAAAGAACTAGAAATACACAGATAGGGACCAACAGTCCTCTCTGAAATTTGAAAACAAACACTGAGAGTGAGGTAAGCACTATATTGCAACTCATGTTCCCAAGTACCGAACAAACACACTAGTTAGCCAAGTTGGGTGACTGGTGGAATTTTGTTTTGGTTTTAATTAGACTTTTTGCTAAGGAGTGTCTTAGAAGCAAGGATAACAATACTGTGTCTCAGACACTTTGAACATGGTGCATGAGGAGCCATTCTCTGGACAAAGGCATCATTCTTGAGAGAGTAGAGGGACAGAGAAAAAAAGACTTTCAATGAAATCAGTTGTGACCATGACTGCAACAATGGCATTAAGCATGGCAGAGATTGTGAAGTTGGCACAGGATGAGGGAGTATTCTGTTCCATGACACTGTGTTGTGTTATTTTTTAAAAAAAATTTTATTATTGTTATTATTATTTGTGTGTGTGTGTCTATGTGTACCATCAAATCAGATCTGACTGGTAGAGGAGGAGATTGTCCCTCCTTCTCCAGCAGAGCATCTCTCTGGTGGACACTATGTTGTTATGTGTTGTCAGATTGAAGACGCCTCACAGTGTGACCTTATAAACAGCAAATCTGAACCCTGTCCTGTCATGTGCCATGCCCTCATCTCTGACACACTTGCATTCATTGCTGCAGTCACTGTACTGATCCCTCGCATTGAGGTTCTTCCTCTCTTTTGTTGACCTTTCCAAGAATGATTTCTATTTCCAAGTTTCCAAGGAATGTCTCCTTCTAACAACATGCCCACAGTACGTGAGACAAAGCTTGGCCATCTTGGTTATTGTCCAATAGTGTCACCACTAGTCAAAGACAACTCGATGGCACTGAATACAAACAGCAGGGTTACTGCTATCATATACAATGCTTATATACACTAGATTCATCCTGGAGAGGGTTAAACCAGGATGCTCCCTGGAGGCAAGGATTCTGGGGCTCTGTCTAACATACTTTGGACATGTTGTAAGGGGGGACCGGTCCTTGGAGAGGGACATCATGCTTGGGAGAGTAGAGGGACAGTGCAGGAGGGGAAGGCCCTCTGTGAGGTGAATTGATTCAGTGACTGCGGTAATCGGGATGGGTGTCTCGGAGACAATGAGATTGGCACAGGACAGAGCAGAGTTTAGGGCTGTTGTACATAGGGTCACTATGAGTCGCAGGTGACTAGACGGTCCATAACAACAACAGCAACATGTAGAAACAGGACAGCAAGTATTCTTTCCTCCCAGAAATGATTGCTACTAGATTTCCTGTGTATTGCAGACTCCGAAAGAGAACTTGGTCTTCTGTGGTAAGCATCACAGTATGTTCAGCCCCATAATGCTTAAATTCTCATTTGGAAGAATTTGACAAGGATGGTCATGGCAAAAAATATCTTACCAGCCTCTGTCCAGACAGGACCTCCAGGAGAGCCAGCAACTTAACGCCATCCTTCATATCTTCAAAAAGGTCTTCCACCACCATTGGAGGCTTCCTCTGTAAAATCAAAAAGGCATGAACACGGAAAATTAATCCCTGTCTCTACATCATCTCTCTCACGCCATAGTTGTTCACTGTGGTGAAATCTGCAAGCAGAATGTATGATAATGTAATTCTCTATTTTGAATGGGATTGGTAATAATGTTTTGATGCACACCTTTATGTTTCAAAAACTTTAGGAGATGTCATGGGTTCCCTAACAGGCATACCAGTTTCTCACTGGAAAACAGATTTTTATCAGATCTGATGTAGGCTGTGAGAAGGAAAATAGGACACTCAGGTTTCACTATAGAGAACACCAATCTTTGGTCTTTCACTAGGGATTTTCTGGAAATGGAGCTTTTATGAGTGAAATGACACGAAAGAGGGAGCTCTGGTGGCCTGGTGGTAAGAAGCTGCAGTGCAATCCCGAAGGCACGTGGTTTGAAGCCAGAAGCTGCTCCATGGGAGGAGGATGGGCAGCTTCCTCCTGTGTGATTAACAGCCTTGGAAAACTTGCTGTAGGGTCAGCTGTGGGTCAGTTCCAACGTGATGGTGAAGGAAGGTTGTTGCAGATCGAGGGTAAAGTATTTTTATAATTATGAATAACGAGACAGACAGTCAGGAATGAGATAGAACAGAGAGCATAAAACAGGGGGCCAGCAGTTCTCCACTGAAAACCTCTATTCCAGCTTCCCTTCACCTTTATTGAAGATTATCAGGAAGTAAATCACAAAGAGAATTCAATGCAAATGAAACCAAGCTCTTTCTATTGAAAACCTTCCTCTTGACCCAGGAGGGAGGAGTCAGCAAATGCCAGAATTGCCTTAGTGCCTCAGGGTGAACTCTAGCTTGTACCTCACCTCCCCCACATCCTGATAGCATTCGGTTTATTACAAATATTTAGTATTGGCTTCCCATAGAAGATGACATCGCTGGGGAGGGGGGATTAACAAGGTGAGATATGTTATCAGACTTGGTCCCCGGGATAGCATCACTAGCTCAGCCACCTGCTTTGGAGGGACTATGGTAACATGACCAGAGCTAGGATTGTCCTGTGGGTGAGGTGACTATGTTTTCTTTTACAGCATGGTTATAGCAAACATTTTATCAAAGTGTGACACTGAACCCAAAAAAGATCTTTAACACAGAATAAACACTGAGCCACTAACTCACTGACTGCCTGGAGTCAGAACCGACTCATAGATGAGCCTCCAGCAGGTTTTCAGAGGTTGTAAATCAATGGGAGGAGACTTCCCATCTTTCCCCCACAAAGCTGCTGGTGGATTCGAACCACCTGCCTTTGAGTTGGTAGTGCAATTTCTTACCAGTAAGCCACCAGAGCTCCTATGTATACATAATGCAGAACCAGATTTTCTTTCTATCATATATCACGTGGCTTGAAGCTCTATTGTATCTAATTCCCACTGAATCATGCGAAAGGCCAAATGTTGGATTCCTAACTTAACTTTCCCTCTCTCTTTTTATTTTAAAAGTGCTAAAGAGCAAGGATATCACTTTAAAAACTAAGGTACTCCTGACCTAAGTCATGCTATTTTCATTCGCTTTATACACAGGTGAATGTTGGATGATGAATAAAGAAGAATTGATTCCTCTGAATTGTGGGTTGGCAAAGAGTATTGCATATTCTAGTGACCACCAAGAGAACCAACATATCTGTGTTGAAAAGGTGAAATGAGGACTGTAGGTCTTCATCTCATGTCTTTTGGGTATGTAATCAGGAGGGAGCAGCCCTTGTAAAAAGACATCATGTCCTAACTAGAAATACAAAAGACTTGTACAAAGAAAACTACAGATTTCTGTGAGACACAATAAAAGACCTAAATTTATAAATGGGAAAATGGATAGGAAGACTCAATATTGTGAAAATGACAATCCTACCAAAAGCAATCTAAATGTTCAACATAATCCCAATATAGATACCAAATTCCTTTTTCAAGGAGATCAAAAGGGAAATTGTCAAGTTTATTTGAAGAGGAAAGAGACCCCCCCAAAATGCAAGCACTTCTGAAAACCAAAAATGAAGTGAGAGGCATAGCACTCCCTGACCTCAAAACCAATACACAGCAGCAGTAACCAAAACAGCATGGTACAATGACAGGCACATAAACTAATGGAACAGAATTGAGCAACTGGAAATGGGCCTCTCTATCTATGGTCAACTGATATTCAACAAGGAAATAAAACCAATCAAATGGTGAATGACAGTCTCTTCAACAAATGGTGCTGACAAAACTGGACTACTACCTGTAGAAAGTTGAAATAGGATCCACATCTCACACCATACACAAAAATTAACTCAAGGTGGAATAGAGACCTAAGAGTAAAGACTCAACCCATAAAAGTTAATAAGAAACAAACTGAGAGTAAGGTTAGAAGGCCTAGTCTATAGTTTTAAGAGGCTGACAAATGCAGTCAGAAATGTACAATCTAGAGAGGATAAAATTGATGAATGAGACTTTCTAAAGATTAAATGTCTATGCTCATCAAAAACTTTTCCCAACAGGGTGAAAAGAAAACCTACTGACTGGAAAAAATACATTTAGAAACATCATCTCAAACAAGGGTCTCATAACAAAAGTTTACAGAATACTATTGGGCCTCCAGAAGAAAAAGATTGAGAACACAATTTAAAAATGAGTAAAGGACATGCAAAGACTTTTCACAGAGGAAGACATTTGGATGGCCAACAGACACAAGAAGAAATGTTCAAACTCACTGGCAATAAGAGAGATGTGAATCAAAACCACAATGAGATACCATCTCACCCCAGTAGCAGGAGCAAAGTTTAGCAGGGTAGCAAGCAGTAAGTGTTGGAAAGAATGTGGAGAGGTGAGAACTCTTATGCAATGTTGGTGGGATTTTAATATGGTACAATCACTCTGGAAGGCAGTTTGATGTTTCCTACAAAAGTTGTATGACCCAGCTATTCCACTACTAGGAATATACCCCAAGGAAATGAGAACTGAGACACAGAGATCTGTACACCAGTGTTCATAGCAGCATTACTCACCATCACAAAAACATAGAAATAGCCCAAATGTCCAACCACAGCTGAATGGACTGAAAAATTGTGGTACATTCACAATATGGACTCCTATGCAGCCCTCAAGAGCAACTATTTTGAAAAATACTACCTCAGTTGGGAGAGACTGGAGAGCATTATACTGAGAGAAGTAACTTAATCTTATAAGGACAAATACTGCATAAGACCATTATTGTAAAAATAGAAGGATAACTAGTAAAACATGTATGGGGACCCAAGAGGGGAAAAGGAGGAAGCAGAGGGATGAGGATGGGTAGGGGTGAAACCACAGGGTTGCACAATTTGGTGGCTGGAGAGACAGGGGTGAAGATAATGAGAGAGATCCAACAAGGACGTGAAAAAGACATGGTGATGATGGGCAAGGTCCAGTGGTGATTAATTCTATAAAACATAATGCATGAAAATGATGACATTAAATAATATGAATGAAAAATAGTGTGAAACACACTGTATACAAACTTTGTAAGCAAACTAATATAAAATTTCAATTTTTTTTAAAAAAAGACATCATACTTAGAAAAGAAAGCTCTCAATGAGATGGATTGACATAGTCAATTTAACAATGGGCTTAAAAGCACAGCAGAGTTTGTGAGAATGGCACAGGATCAGGCAAGGTTACAATCTGTTTACCTACAGGATCAAGGTGATCAAGATGAGCTTGGAGTCTTCTAAACCACACCTAACAACAACAGCGTTTTACTCATTGGCACCAAGCTGAATTCTTACTCACAGAAACCCCACAGAGGACAGAGCAGAACTGTTTCCAGAACAAGGTTTCCACATCTGTAATCTTTGTTATCTCCAAAATCCTCAGAGGCACAGATTTTTTAAAAAATTAATTTTAATGAAAGTTTACAGAGACTTTGGCTTTCCATTCATTCATTGTTGTATTTTTCCCCCTGCCCAACCTCTCCCCCAGTTCATTCCTCTCTTTGAAAAGCAAAGAAAAATTCTTTCATTGTCATACAATCCTTCTCCTCCAAGTCCACTCCACTGTGCAGCCCTCATTCTGTGCTCCTGTCATGATAACAATACCCAATTATATATCCCTTTAAAACAGTTCTCTCTCTCTCATATGTTTCAAGGAAACACAGGTTTTGAAGCTCCGTCTCACATACTTTGGGCAAGTTGCCAGAAGGAACCAGTCAGAGAAAGACATCACTGGAAAGGTGGAGAGAGAATACAAGAGAGAAAGACCTCAGATGAGCTAGATGGACATAGTGACTACGACAATGGGAACAGGTGTGTCAGAGACAGTGAGATGGGCTCAGGATAGGGCAGAGCTCAGAGCTATTGTTCATAGGGTCACTATGAGTCATTGTCAGCTTGATGGCACATGACAACAATAACAACAGTCTTCATTGAAGCATACCATTTCATCATCCTCCCTTGGGGCAGCTGGTGGGTTCAAACAGTTGACCTTTCACTCAGCAAGCCAAGACTTAACTCACAGTACCACCAGGGTGTCTCTGCTCCATTTACAGTGTGACTTCTCTTCTCTCCCCACTGGTATGGAGCATTTAGATTTCTCTAATGACTACAGAGACTACTGCCTCCTAAACACTACAATTCTAATTTTAAGTACATTTCCCCCTCTTTATAAAATGAATAGATTTTGTTCTCATGCTGTGAAATACATGTTCTAAAATAACAAAATTTTCATATTCAACTTTTCTCTTTTAAATTTTCACGTGTACTGTGTGTTACTGGAATGGGAGAAATGTAATAGTCATTTTATATTCAAAACAGGAACATAAGATTATTCAGAATAAAATAAATGTGGCAGCTAAAGTTGTTTGGTGTAATAATAAAATTTCCTGTCTGGCTACACATGATCAGTACACTCTAGTCCATTTATCATTTTAAATATTCATTTATAATTCTAACAGTTTAAATAATATAAAGACTAAAAAGTTCCTAAGCATATATTTTCAATAAATAAAATAAATGC